TGGGTAAGTCTTATGTGCTGGAACTAGTAGATTCAATGGTGGACCGAACTCACTTCGTGTCACTAGGACATTTGGAAAGCATCTCGAAAGGAACTCAATTCGAGTATTAAACAAAGCTGGAGATTTCTCGTCGACAGAATAACAGAAAACATTCTGAGGGTGGTAGCTGGATGCGAGCTCGTCTTCGATGAACTCGTAGCTCTGAAATAGTCTCGGTTATCTTCGTTTCAATAAGGTTTTTAATTATCTACATCAGCATGTTACAACACGAATAATTTATCAAACAAGATCGTTAGTGTGATAAATTATTACTAGAAAACATACACGGGAAAACAACAGAAGCAACATAAGACTGTAAAGTTGTTACCTCGTAAACAACCCTCGCATAAGCAACACCAAACGGTAATGGTTTGAAATTACGCTGAGCCGTCACCTTCGTGCGAATATGATTGCAATCGTTATAGTGTTCACAACTGATACCTCGTGATCGACGTAGATTGGGTCGCTGTTTTGCGATTGTCTTGATATATTCCTGACAAAAAAATGTAAACCTAAGTCAGAAAACAAGACAAGAACACGCCTTACTTCGCACTAAGTAAACTTCAAATCTGAGATGATGTGGACCTACTCCACATAAACATGCCGGCGGCTGCGCTTCTGTGGAATAGTTTCACTTTGGGACACTTGCAATAATGTGTTTTGCAAAACCGTGGTTCACTAGAGATCGGCCCTTTGTAGGCGATTTGCAGCTAATTGGTTACTTTCTGCAGGAAACAAGTGAAAGGCAGAAATTTATTTGCAACAAGCTACAATAGCACGGAATAAATATATGTTGAGCAGGAGCCGGTACTGCGGGAGAGTTGAAATCCATTGACAACGTCCAGAGCAGGTAGAGCGGCGAAGCAATCCGATGAAGCCGAGGCAGGGAATACCAGAGAACTGCTCCAGTCTTACAGCCAGTCCCTATGTACCTAGGAGCACCTCCCCTATCTTGTCTGGGGGGACGCGAGAAAACGCCTTCTTGAATAGGGGGTGGGGGGTGCACCAACTACAGATCTTGACGGGGACGATCTACTCGAGGGGCGTGATCATTCTATCGCACTAGCGTGTTCCCATAGGTTTCTTTTCAACACTTTACAAAATACAGGACAAAAAGACATTTGTCTGAAATCGCAATGCCCGACAAATAGCGCATCCTACACCGCATTCAAATGAAGATTGCTACCCTGCCTAAGGTATTAGGTATACTGTGGGCTGCACTCACTAACCCCTCTCTAATGAAGTCTGTCGGCTCTAAAGTAAATATAACGATTTGTTACTGAAGGGTAAGTTTTAACAGTGAGAGCTTATACAGCAAAACTTCCGATAAGGCTCCAACTCCAGTGTTAATGTAACCAACAATCGTCAGATAAGTTTTGAAAAGGTCTTTTGTGCAGTTTACATTTCTTGCAAATCGTTGGTGGTTGCAGAATTTCTTGAATTTCTTTGGAGCAATTTCGAAGTTCTCACCTCGTCTTCGCGAAGCACCCTTCCACAGTCCACATGTTTTGTCTCACGTCGCTTATTAAAAAGTGAAGAACCATTCTCAGGTATAAAAATCTATAAGTCAAAAAAGATGAGCCATAACATGAATAACGAAGTTGTGTCCATAATTCTTGTCCGATTTTAGTTCAACTCCAATGTTCCATGTAGGGTTATCGTCAAACAGTTGTGATACTTTGGAGAGTATAGTATGAGCTCTAAGTAGTAGCTCTGAAAACAGGACTTGAATCGCAGATCAAGGAGCTAAGATTCCAAGTAGATCGATACCCTGTCGTGCCATTCTGTGCCCTTGCTTCTGTAAAGTATCAAATTATCTTGCCGTCTGCCTTTTAGAGGCCCGATGGTGTGGGGGGGGGGGAAAGATGGAAAATGTGTTGTCACAGAGGCCATAAAATGCTGGGCGGTCTAGAGAGTGCAAAGATAAAATTAATGCAATGTGTGGGATTAAGTGCAAGCAGACTTTAGAAAGTCACCGTAGTGCCTACTGCCAAGTGCCAAAAGTCCTGCGGAATTTCACCAACAGCGGAAAGCTGCATCTCTACGTCTTTCAACGGAATCCCCATCGCGATGGTATGCCCTACTGAACGCTACACTACTTAGGTCCGCCCCTATTCAATCTGGCTGCGTTCATGCTTTGCGGCAGCGTCCACCAGCGAATAATTGCGTCCACAAGTGTTCCGAGCATCCGGAAGCGTCTAGCAGTTTCCAGAGTGGAGAGTAAGGCCGACGGAGGGTAGCAGACAGCCGGTAAAATATGGAAAGGTAGGAGGGTGGCAGACTGCTAGTAGAGAGTACGGCGCAATAGGAGGGTAGCAGGCAGCTGGTAGAGTGTGAGGGGATATGAGGGCAGCAGATTGCTGGTAGAGAATATGGCAGAAGACTAGCAGACAGCTGGTACCCTCCTGTCGCAGCACACTCTCTACGGGCAGTCTGCTAGTCGCTGGTGGACGCTAGTAGACGCTGGCACACGCTAGATCGATATCTATACTTTCCTAGCCGCTAACGCTCCCTCGGAAACTCAGGTGGACGGCTGTGGTCGCTGGACGCTGCCGAATAGTATGAACGCAGCCTCAGGAATTTCCTGAGAAGGCATGCGCGTGACACCACCACGCCATCGTAAAATTGATCTCCACTGATACAGCTCTGTTTTTTCTCA